CAGGAGCAGAGCCACCAGCACCTGGAGGCACAGTCTCTCTTGTCAGCAGGTGCATAGAGTTAGGGGACTGTGGGGGAGGTTTGGGGAGCTTAAGAGGAAGAAAAGATTTCGCAGACAGAGAATGTTGCAATCCTATGCAAGGTCAAGTCCTCAATAACGCGGGCTGTTGTCAGCAGCAGAACAAGTTAGAATTCTGGTTCTGTTTGAGATGCTATTCAGAAGGCAAGGAAAAGGGGTTCTTCTGGTCCCACGCAGGGATGTGAAGCAGGAGATTAGGTCCCAGGAGATGGCACATTCCCAATAGGGGGGGTACTCGAGAGCCAGCTTTCTTCTGAGCTCCTTGTGGGCATTTTGGTCTTTCAGAAGAAGTGATTGTTTTTCTAAACCTGAAAAAAACTTTTAAAAATGTTTAAAGCATGGAGGAAATAAGGTATATACAGCACTTTTGCCCACTGAAGTTTCATACTTTTTAGAGGCTTTCCACCCACCTCCTTGTGCTTCATGATATTCAAGGCCCTTTACTTTCCCCATTGTGTTCTTTTCTGTCTTCCGATAACCTTGCAGGTAGCTGCTGCTATTATTATCATCAGTGTTATTATTACGATTTCTGTTTTATTGGTGGGGGCACCAAGGGCCAGAGAGGTTGGGCAACTTGCCCTGGGTCATGTTGATAGAAAGTGGCAGAGCCAGCTGTGTTTCCTCCCCACACATCAGACTGTTAGGGATGATCCTATTAGTACTGTTCATTGTTGGTATTGAGTTGATTTAAGTAGAAATGGCAGTCATACCGCCCAGTGGATGGGACCAGAGGTGGAAGCAGTGGATTTCTGTCACCTCAAAGCCACTTGTGACTCTGTGACTCAATCCTCCAGTAATGTGGAGGGAAAAATAAGCTCTCCTCCCCTCCCCCACAGTGGCTCCAAATAGGCTTGTAGACACTGCACCCTTGCTGACTCCCCAGGCCCCTCGAGTGGCCCTACTCTGCATAGCCATTGTAGTAGGTGGACTTTGTCTTCTTCCCAGGGAGGAATTGCTTATTCTAAGAGTCATATTCTGCAGGGTGGGGAAACAATCTGTCTTTAGATTTTGCAAGATTAAGTGACCTTTACTATGGAATGCAAAACTACTTATTTGTATACTCTCCACAACCACACTGTGAGGTACGTGCTGTTATTTCCCCCTTGCTCGATGAGTCATCTGAGGCCCAAAGAGGTTTAGTAACTTGCTGAAGAACACATGATAAAAGGCTTCGCAGTAGATTTAAACCAGATAATCTTGCTCCAGGGCCTCTGTTCTTAAATACACATTCATTTTGATGAGTGCTATCCATCTACCCATTTATTGCAGAATTCATCTCTCTACCCACCCTTTCACTCATCACCCACCTATCTAGCCATCAGTTCATTTATCCATCTTTTTACTTATCCCTGATTCTACTGTCCTCACATCTGTTCATCCTTCCACTAACCATCCATTTTTCCATCCATCCATCCATCCACCCACTCACCCACCTCTCCACCCACAGACCTGTTCATTGTGTTGGCTATTTGTCTAGCCTGGTTTTTTGCTTCATCCTGGAGAAGCAGTGTCTCCATCCTAGGGGCCAAGCATATGCTTCCTGAAGTTGGAGACCCCTGTGCCAACAGAAATCCCTTAGCTCCCAAGACATATCTGGGCTTGCTCCTGCTTCAGGCAGGAGGAGGCTGCTCGTTCACTTTCCTCCCTCTGTAAACCTGTGGAGGTTCCCCTCTGTAATGTCCTCCAAGTGTGCAAAGCTGCAGAATCTTCCAGAAACGCTCTTGACTTTCTGAAGCATTATCATAAATGACTACTTAGCTAGCCCCATTCCCTGACCCAAAGGTTGAAAGTTGGATTAGTTTGGTATGATTTTACTTTTTAAAACTGTTATAGAGTTTGTGTGATACTTCTGAAAATTATGTAATAAATCTAAAACAGATGTTCACAGGGCATTTTATAAGGAAAGAATTTTTAATAGAAACAGGCCAGTTTGATTTGAGATAAATCAATTAAAGAAACAATTAGAATTGTCTACGAAGAAGCAGTGTTATGAAGAGGCAGTAAAGCTTGGCTATTTGCATATTTATTAAGTGCAAAACAATGAAAGTCACTTAATTATTTTGCATAGCCTCTGTTGTGGTACACGATTTCAGTTTTCAAAATTTTCTCTTTATTATGGAAAAATTAAACATAAAAACTTAAACATGTAAACATAAACAATCATATAATGAACCTCCACATACCCATTACCCATGTTCAACAATTTCCAACTATAACTGTACCCACTTCTCCCCTCTCATATTATTTTTCTTTTCATAAGTTTCAAGGGTATATTCCTCACTTATTAATGTCCTTAGGTCAAAATTCCATTCTAGAAAAGTATATTATGTTGACATTGAATTATAAGGAACATTTGAATGTAATTGTTTAATTTTTCTTTGAAATCTTGCTTTTTTGAGGTAGAGCATTGGAATTTTCTGTCATTTTTTTTTTAAATAAAAAATTCAAATCTATAGTAGAGTTGAAAGGATAATAAATCCACCCTCACATACTCTTCACCTAAACACATTGGTTATTAGCATTGGGACTGGCATTTTCCTAAGTGTGTTTTTCATGGGATTACTTGAAGATGGGAGATATTCTTACATTGGAAGGTAGGAAGGCAGTAGCACGTGGCTTTACAACCAGAGGGACTTGGGTTCAGATCTCACCCCCACCATCTCTTAGCCCTGTGTCGCAGGCAAGTTGCCTCATCCTCAGTCCTTCATCTATCAAATGGGAGTAATGATAGTGTACATACACCCATGGGGTTATGCAAGGCACACAGTAGGATCTCAACAAATATTACCTATCACCTTGCCTCAGCCCCCTGTGTTGCAGCTTGGGGCTCTGAATTGGGGGAATTGGGTTTTGTTGATCCAAGTCATTTTTGATCAATAGAGAAGATTTTTGTCATTGAGAGTTGGTATGGCCTAATAATTAAGAAAATAAATCTCGGGGAAGAGTGGTTCCAATCCCAGCTCTTCCCTTACCAGCTTGGAACTTGGTTGAGTGACTTAATCTCTCTGAGCCCAGGTTTCCTCACTGTAAAATGGGGATAGAAAGAATATCTATCTACTGCATTGGGTTGTTGTCAGGAGAAAAGGAAGTGGGGACATCCATGTCCACATTTAGTATAACGTCTGCCTCATATGTGCCCAATGAATGTTACTAATCATATAGTATTATTATAAGTAGAGGTACATCAGCATAGCGCCTACCGTATAAATGCTTAATAAATGTTTCTTCTTCTTCTTCTTCTTATTATTATAAGTAGAGGTGAAAAACCAACACCAAATTGGTCTTTAAAAGTCTAATTCTACTTTGGTGCAATGAAAAGAATGAAGATTTTTAGTGAAAACTTGCAATGTGATTTCAAGCGAGAGTAAGCCTTTGGATGATTGGACAGGCAGATGCTGCCAGCCAGGCCTGGTGTCGCTGAGTCATGGGAAATGACCATGTACCTTGAGTTCCATTCAGGGATGTCTTAAAATAAACCAGCCACCTTGAACGCTCCTGGAAGCGTCAGGGGCTTTGGATAGCTTGCCCCATGGCCAGGGTTTCACCTTTATCCTGAGGACTTTGTGCTATTCTTGTTGTCTGGGACTGAATTTTTCCTTTCTCTCTTTTCTGACTCTCATCTCATATCCCAGGTCGAAAGGATTGTAGACAAGAGAAAGAACAAGAAAGGAAAATGGGAGTACCTTATCCGATGGAAAGGCTACGGGAGCACAGAGGACACGTGGGAGCCAGAGCACCATCTACTGCACTGTGAGGAGTTTATCGATGAATTCAATGGGCTGCACCTATCCAAGGACAAGAGGATTAAGTCAGGGAAGCAGGCCAGCGCCTCCAAGCTCCTGCGTGACAGCCGAGGCCCATCAGTGGAGAAACTCTCCAGTAGACCTTCAGAATCTGGAAAGAGCAAAGGGACTTCTCATAAACGGAAGCGGATCAACCCTTCCCTGTCCAAGCCGAAGAAGGGGTATCCAGCCAAGCCCCCTGCGGGAGGTGACAGGGCTGCCAAGACGGTGTCTTACAGGACTACCCCCAGTGGTTTGCAAATAATGCCCCTGAAAAAGGCTCAGAATGGGATAGAAAACGGGGACACCGGATCCGAGAAGGATGAGAGGCACTTTGGAAACGGGTCCCACCAGCCCGGCTTGGATCTGAATGATGTTGGAGAGCAAGACCTGGGCGAGTGTGATATCAACCATGTGGCACTGGCAGAGAACGGGCTCGGTACGTGGCTTGTCTTTCTCCTGCGTTTGGCTCCAGCCATGGCAGATGGGGGTTCTGTATGCACACATAAGGTCCCCACTCTGTCCCTGACTCTTAGCTAGGAAGTTATTCTCCCTTTGTCTCTCTCACCTAGGGCCATGTGGATTTGGTCATGTGCCCACATTGGTTACAGTCACCCATGCATGTGGGGGGACCAAGCCGCTGGTACTCCAGCCAAGGCCGGGAATGGGTTGAAAATTCCCGACACTAGAGGTTCTCCTGTGAGGGCAGCTCAAACTCCTCACCTGCCAGGATCTGAGACTGATGTCCCCAGAGGGCCAGTGCCTTTTCAGGGCAGCACGCACCTCTCAGAGCCCTTGCTTTCAATCTCTTGGGACCCCCAGCAGTGTAGCCCAGAGGTGAGGTCTGGGTTCACGTCTGGTCCTCCTCAGACCCAGTTTGGACTTGGGATTCTTCTAACCCGTTCGTAAGCTGGAGCCTCTTGCCCTTCATCTATAGCTAACATGCATGATCTGGCCCCATTTCTATGTTAGGTCCTAAATGCTGCCCTGTCCCCATCCTGTGCTAATTCTTTTGGTTGCTCCCTACCTTCTTACCCCATCCTGGAAGTAACACAGCAAAGGTGATAGCATTCGTCCCCCTTACCTTGTCCCCACAGGCAAAATTAAGAACAGAGAGGCAATGACCTAGGTAATTCAAGCTCCCAAGCCTGACATTTCTCCAGTAGTCAAATTGCTCCTCAGTCGAGTCCTTGTGGCCAAGTCTTCCAGGTTACCTGTCTTTACCCACGATGCGCACTCACCCATTTCTTGGATACCTGTGTGCCTGCGTGGTTTCTCTTTAGCTGCCAGAACCCTGAGCCTCGGGATGTCAGGAAACCCTGCATGAGTGTGGAGAGCCTGTGTCCAACAGAGTAGGGCCATCGATGCCCTGGATGGAACCAGGGTGTGTGTGGGAGCAGGGGTACTGGATGCCAGTAGGACAGGCTGGAAGAGGTCCTGGAGGGATGGGGTGATGGGGGCAACTGCACAGGACAGTGACGATGCTTTCAGAGTTCTGAGTGCCCAGAGCATGTTCTACTGGGGAGAGCATGACATCCTTAGGGGGTCTTGCCAGGGAATCTGAGCAATCGCTTTGAGATTCCTGTCTCCAGAGAGGAGTTTCACCCAAACAGGATTTATTTAGCAGCCTCTGCCCCAGATTGATCCCCCCTTTCTTTCTGGGGATCCCTGATGCTGATGTGACTCTGCCTGCTACTGTGTGTAAATGCTGTTTGTTTTTAAAAATTCACCTCTCCCGGAGGAGTGGGTTTGTGTAAATGAGGTCTGGCACAGACTTTATCTGTGTTTGACGCTCCTGTGATAACTGCTGGCAGTGGAGGAATTCCCTGTCTTGGGGAGGGTTGCTGGTGAGTGGAGCTTCTGAGGCTTCTGGTGTGCAGGCAGAGGAAACCTGGGCATGATTCCTTGCAGTCTGACTGGTAGAAGTGCCCTGTCCTGCTCAAACTGTGGCTGCAGAGCGAGAGGAGAAGCATGAGGGAGGATGGTTTGCTCACTTTAGCTGCCAGCCTGCCGCGTGAGGAGAGAAGCCAGTGGAGGAGTCTGGGTGAAGGAGCGCCTCTGGTTCCCTGCAACATTCCAAAGTGGGGCAGAGTGCCAGCCAGTTCCTCTCCATCCTTGGGCCTCATTGGTGTCCCCTTGTTCACGATCTGATGATGGGCACGCTACCCCACATTGGGGAAAATAGGCAAGGATAAGTCTGTTTGGATGAGTTGGTGGCCTTGTTAACTTCCAGCCTTAGCTCCAGAATGCTGCTGAGAGCTTCCACATCTCTGGTCTCTTGTTGGCCTCATTTTTTTCCTGTGTTCTTTACTCCACTTGGGCCCATGCCTGGATAGAGAGGAGGAAGCTGCCTGCCTCTGTTGTGTTCTGCTTTAGGTGTTCCCAAAGGACCCTTTTGTTTAATCACATCTCATAGTATTGGTGTCCTTGAGATTCCCCATAAGGTTAAGGCAGTGGTTCTCAGATTGTACATGTGTAAGATTACATGTGTAAGAATGCAGGTCCCAGAGAGTCTGATTTACTACATCTTGGGTAGAGCTGAGAAGATGGGTTTTAATTAGTTAATTAATTAAAATATGTTTGATTTTTTTTTTTTTTAGAGAGAGAGAAAGGGAGAGGGAGAGAGAGAAACATCACTGAGATTCATTGATCAGCTGCCTCCTGCATTTCCCCCCACTGAGGGTCGAGCCTGCAACCCGGGCATGTGCCCTGACTGGGAATGGAACCTGAGAGCTCTTGGTGCACAGGATAACACTCTACCTACTGAGCCACACTGGCCAGGGCAAAAATGGTTTTTAACAAGCACCCTGAGAGACTCTTATGCATTTTGAGACACACACTGTGGCAATATGGGGATGGCAGTTAAGTTTTACATCAGGTATAAATTTAAATCAATTCAATACTTATTTTTTTGAAAACTTCCTAAGGGTTAATCACTATGTTAGCTGCTGGGAGTAGCATAGTAAAAAGACAGGTAAGGACTTATTCCTCTGAAACTTACAACATACTCTCCAATACGTTCAGAGTGGATGTCTCTAGGTCAGTGTTGAGAAAACTCGCTCATTAGAAGGAATAACACATATGTTATATACATGATATGCCTTTTCATACCTGTCTTGACATCTTCTGTGGTCACTAGGGTGGTAAATGCCCCAAACACTGTCAGTCTTTAACACTTTGGTGAGAACTAGCTTATTATTCAGGTCTTGGGGTAACTGGGGAGAGGCAAAGGCTGGGAATCCTTTCCAGAGAAAGACAGAGAGAGTGGTTTGGGGTTCTTGGACAGGACCCAAGACAGAAGGTGTTTTGTGGTTCCAGAACTTTGCAGCAAGGGGTCAAAGCTGTAGTCAAGTGCATGGTTCCACTTATGTTTTCAACCAGAGGGAAGCCTTGATGAAGCCAGTGCCAGTGCTCATGTGGGACTGAGTGTCTTCTTCCTCCCCACTCCTTAACCCCTTTCTCCTGACCACCTTTACCAAAGGATCCAGTTCCCAGTGGCACAAAGGGTGAGCTGACGGGGGGTTTTCAGCATCGAGGCAGACTCATCTTTGCCTGGCAGAAGGTGGCTGGGGAGATCCTGGCTGTGCTTCCCCAGCATTTGTTTTGGGGGTGGGCTGTTGCTTTTTGTATGATTTTAACTTCTCTTTGGTGGATTAAGGTTCTGCATACAGAAAAGCAACTTATGTAACACGTTACTCATTTACTGCTGACTTCCCTGATCTGTGCTGTGGGAACAAGTGCTAAATCAGGGCTCCGGTGTTTTGGTTTCAGACTGCCTTTTCCCCAGCAGTGCTTGTGAAGCCTCTGTAGCGACTAGGTACTGCTCTTGGTTCTATTTCTAGTTCCCTAACGGACCTGTGGTCTGGGGACCATCTGCCTCAGTATCCCTTGGGGAGCTTGTTTAAAATGAGCTCCACCCCAATGGAATGGATCAGGATTTCAGGAGATAGGGCGGGGGCTATGCATTTTAAATACTGAATTTTAATGGCCATGGGTGTATATGTCCTGTAGTTCCCGTGGATGTGTTTGGTTGTAAGTGATGCTTCATAGATCGACTTGGGGTAGATCCCAAGTGACTCGTTGGATGGTCACCTCGTACATGGGAATGTAATTCGGTCCTTCGAAGGTTTAATACCTGGCATAATTTCTCCTTGCTCATGCACTTTCTACCAGGCATCTCTTTGTATTCTAAAACAGAACAGTTTCATCTGTATGAAAAAGCTTTTGGTTAGCTAGCTTCCGTGGTCTGGTGCAGGAACACTGGTTAGTGCTTCCTGGTCTCCAATAGGCCAGAGCGTCAACACTTTACAGATTCAGATGAGCCTTTCACTGACGGAAACATCCCTAACCAGGAGCCAGCGCATCGCTGTGAACCCCAGCACGACACATTCTCTGAATTTCCGTGAAACCAATGAGTTTCCACTGTTGATGCTGAGCCCGTGGCCCTGGATTCACATGGCTTCGAATTTTGAGATAATTTTCCTTGTGTCCCGAGACTGTTGTCTGTCGCACAGGCACTGCCCTCCAGACACTGCTTGATTCGTGCTTTCAGAATTGTTCCTGTCATTGAATGAGTCATCCCACACCGATGCGCGCGTTTGCCACGTTCTCTCCATTGATCTTTTACAGTTATCTCAGCTTTCACTGGTATAGTGTTTGTTTATCTCTTCCTGCTCACTTTTTCAACATGATTATCATTTTTTCCTTTGTTGAACATAGTGGAGTTACCGTGTTTTAACAGCAGTCCAGAACTGAGCACCAGCATGGGACATGCCCTGGGACTTTCGAGAACCTAGGGCTCTCAAACATGAAGCCAGTATCAGGTCCCCTGGAGGGCATGTTAAAACACAGATTACTAAAATTGAAAAGACAAATAAACAAGAAAACAAAAACTCCCACACAGATGGCTGTGCCAACCCCAGGGTTTCTGGCTCAGTGGGTATGGAGGAGAACCTGAAAATCTGCATTTCTAGCACATTATCCTAGATGCTGCTGCAGGTCCAGAGACCCACTTTCAGAACCACTGCTCTAGCCAAATAAGCCCCAAGACGGTAGAGACGAAAATGACAGACAGTGGTTGAGAATACCAGTTGGTGGTAACAGACTTATGGATACAGACAGACTGACATCTGTCAGAGGGGAGTGGGTTCGGTGGCTGGGTGAAAAAAGCGAAGGGATTAAGCATAAAAGCCAACACAACTCATAGACACAGGCAACCTATGGTGATTACCAGGGGGAAAGAGGGGTGAGGGGAGGTAGAAGAGGGTAAAGGGAGGATAAATGGTGATGGAAGGAGACTTAATGACTTAACTTGGGGTGGTGAACACACAATACAGTGTACAGATGCTGTATTATAGAGTTGAAACCTATAGAATTTTATTAACCAATGTCACCCCAGTAAATTCAATAAAAAGATAAAAAGAAAATACCAGTTGATGG